CTTCACATTTTAAATATTGCCTATTTTTATAAAGTCCTAATTATTATGGGTGGGCAATCTACAGTAAGATTCATACTCTAAGACTGGTGGGAAATTCAAGTCCTAATCGAGGAGGTAAGAATTATTAAGGTAATGCCTAAGGACATAGGCAGTTCCAAGCTGGGAGGGATATTGTGTGTGTGCATCTGTGTGTAAAGGTAGGGAGTTCAGGTCTGACAAATTCAATATTTCCAGATATTCTGGGACTCCTTTAGGTAAGCTCACCTTCTCGACACGCTTGATTGAGAATCGAAAACAGCTGTCCCTGGATCACAGAATTCAGCTCCATGATTTCGCAGCACTGAGTCAAATTTTTATTACATGAGTTAATCTGAAAATCAGGTAAATGTTCTTGATTAATCCAGTTTTATCCATATTATTCCTTCACCAGTCATTCTTAGCAATAGAACAAATCTGAGTCAGAAATACAATTTTACAACATACACCAATGGTGGGTTCCTACTAGTTTGGCCAGGTTCGGCCGAAACAGTAGTGGCATGCCAGCCTGGGTCGCAGAGAGTCCATGCCTCTAAACTGGTTCCCTGGTTGCCCCAATCACCACTGCCATCTTGTTTTTTAGTTCTGCACAAGCGCGGAACAATTTCTATTGAACTGCGCATGCGCGCACACAGGGGTGAAATCTGGCAGGTTCTGGAGAACCGGTAGCGGAAATTTTGAGTAGTTCAGACAACCGGCAAATGCCACCTCTGGCTGGCACCAGAGTGGGGTGGGAATGGAGATTTTGCAATATCCTTCCACTGCCACGCCCACCAAGCCACACCACGCCCACCAAGCCATGCCCACCGAACCGGTAGTAAAAAAAAATGAATTTCACCACTGCGCGCACAACACGCATCCAGCACGCCCACGAGAAAAACAGCAGTAACTTCAGCTAGAACCCTGCCATACACCATCACTTCTGCTGAGTAGGAATGACAGAGAGTATATTGTAATAAATGTGGGTAAAGGTGAGCTAATTTTTTCCTTGCTTTTGGCCATAACGATCATAAGAAAGTTTTCCTTGTTTACTAAAATACCACCTTGCATCTCGCATCTGCAGTGTTTATTATAATAAAGGACTGGGATGTGAATCGCACCATCGTAACACAGTACAATAAAGAGAAAAAAATCAGTCTACATTCGCACTAAATCACTTCTTTAACAAATAAAACTATTTTCCATTTATCTTACGCTATGTGTGTTATTTCTCTGTTATTCCATGTGGTGCTACGTAATACATAAAAAGGAAAAAAAAAATTTTTTTGCCCACAGCATATTTGGAACTGTGATAGACATGATCACAAATGGGTGTGTTATGAGACTCCTTCATTCATAACATGACTAACTTTGTGGATTTCAAAGGCTTTTGAAACATATTGACGCAAAGTTTGTGCTTTTCTTCCCATTTTCTTGTAATTTTTAAACAATCAAATTGGGACAGGAAATCTGGTGGGAATCAAATGAAGTGTGACATGTGTAGGTTCTTAGATAAAACATTAAATCAGGAATGTCTTGCATCCACAGAAACTGGGAAAATATATATAATCTATACAATCTATGCAGAGGTGGGTTCCTACCAGTTCGCACCTATTCGGTAGAACCGGTTCGTCAAATCTACCGAACCGGTTAGAAGAGGTTCCACCAGTGGACCCGG